ATGTCTTCTCCTGCGCCTGCGGCCCAGCCTGGGAGGGACCCCGCTGCGAGGTCCGCGCCGATCCCTGTCGCTTGTCGCCCTGTGTCCGGGGCCAATGCCATGTGCGCCCCGACGGCCGCTTCGAGTGCCGCTGCCCTCCGGGCTTCGCAGGCCCGCGTTGCAGGTGCGGTGGCAGGGGACCCGTCGTTGGGACCGCTGTGGATGTGGGCGGAGGGGTTTGAAGGGATGAGTTCTCCTTAGCCTCTTTTTGGAAATGGGAAACCCACTTCTGTTGGATGCTCATAAAAAGGTTAAAATACAGGCTAAATCTGGATTCAGAAAAACATTGTGGTTTGAGGAGAGTTAGGACAGAAATAATTAGCGGCATGATTTGGGGTTTTGAAGCAAGCTGCCCTTAGTGATGTTCTCCGTGCATCCCCAGGGCCAGAGCCTTTGCAACTCTCCCCATTTCCTCCTGGGTCCAGAGCTGTCTAGCCCTCTCCTCCAGAAGTTTAGGAACTATTTTGCCCTGCCCTTTAATTTCAGCACTTATCAAAGGCCTTGGCTCTTCTGGGGTGCGGGAAGCAGCAGAAGGACAGACCTGTGTTCTTTTGCTTCCATCAGGCTGTAGAGGGTGGGCATTCATTCCCCAGAGGAGAGCACTGTGGCCAACTCCCAGCACCCCAACTCCACCAGCCTTGTACTTTCTCTGCAGGTTGCCTGTTCTGCCTCAGGGATGTAGCCTCAACTCCACCTGCAAGGATGGCACCCCTTGTGAGGGCGGTCCCCTAGGCACCAACTGCAGTTGCCAGGAAGGCGTTGTTGGCCTGAGGTGGGTCTGGGAGCCAGGTCCTGGGATGCTGCCCCTGGATCCCCAGTCTGGGCAAGGGAAATGGGGTCTTTGTTTTGCCTCACTGTCACCAGTGCCGATAACCCACCAGGGTCACTTGGTTCTGGGACTTCCAAGACCATTGTCTCTCAGGTGGATGCCAGTAGGGCAAACTAGCCAGTTTCTTCGGGGATGGTTCGAGACAGGGTTTCTCTGTGTAACAGTCCTGGCTGTCCTGGAACTCTGTAGATCAGGCTGGCCTCTGCCTCCCAAGTGCTGGGATTAAAGGCGTGTGCCACTACCACCCCACTTTTATTTTTTGAAAAGGGGTTTCTCTGTGAAGCCCTGGCTGTCCTAGAACTCACTCTGTAGACCAGGCTGGCCTTGAACTCAGAGATTCATCTGTCTCTGCCTCCCAAATGCTAGGATTAAAGGAGTGCACCACCACCTCACAGTCCACCTAGTTTAAGGCCTTTTGGTGCTCAGTGGACATGGCCAAAATGCAACTTCTGGGCCTCCAGAGTATGTGGCATCCCTCCCTGCTACATGTTCTCCCTCCTTTTCATGGAGTAGGAGCCCTTCTCAGTCATGAACATTGGGCTCAAGGGGAATGGGTGGGTGACGGAAGTCATCTTCAGCTCTGCTTACTTGACAGAGATGAGCCAGGCTCAACAGTGGCTAGATTGGCTTTGGTGCTTGGGTGGAGGAGCAGCAGCTAGGGAATGGAGGCAGCTGTGTGTGTGGGGGGGGGAGGGGGTGGAGTTGGCTTTCTTAGCCTCTGTCTTTTCCAGATGTCAGAGTCCTGACCTATCTTGTGAAGTCAACCCTTGCTTGAATGGGGGCACCTGTCGAGCAACCAGTGGCATATTTGAATGTACTTGCAATGCAGGATTCTCTGGCCAGTTCTGTGAAGTGGTGGTGAGTGGTTCTCAGGGGTGGACAGGGAGGGTATGGCCCTGTGGGTTAGCAATGGATGAGTTTTGCTGAGGGTGGAGGACGACACTTGGGCCCATTCTAGGACCCCCACATAGGAGGTATTTATTGTCACTTTAGGGAGAGCTTGGGGATCCCATTAGCTCAGGCATAGTCTGGGGCTTCCCGGTGGTATCAGTGCCACCAGGGTAGTGGCAGTGGGGACAGGTTGGGATCTTCCAACTCTACTCTAGGACTGGCTTCTGAGCCCACAGGATCATGGAGCTTGTAGTCTCTTTGGGCTCCAGAGCAGTTTCTGAAGCAGGTCAGGCTTGGGCACTGCAGGTAACCCTGCCCCAAGGAGGCTCAGCTGACAGAGGTCTGGGCCTGTGGGAACCAGCACCAAGCCTTGGAGAGGCCCCCAGACTAGGGTGGGTGCTGATGCAGGGTTTTCTGGAAGGGCAGTCTGGGGAGTGGCCTTGATCTTTGTAGGTTCCTGGAAGGTTGGTTGTAAGCTTTTGCTTCTGGGAAATGTTCCTTCAAGTTGAACTTTTATAGGCTTTGCTTCCCCACCTAACCACTATATACCACCCCCACCCCCCCAACGCCTGAGGAAATTCTGGAGAGGGGGCAGGTGTGAACTTTATAGTTTTGGGGCCTCCTTCTCCAGGCCTGATTGCTGGGGATTGAAGTTATAGACAGTAGGCTAAGAAGCCTCAAGATGTAGGGGAGATGGGTGAGTTGGATTGTGGGAGTTCTGATTTTAGGGATAGGAGTTCTAGACACATGGAGTCTTGGATGGAGGCACTGTGGGAGTCTGTGACTGAAGATGGGGAAATGCTGCTCTTGCCCCCAAACCAGGCTCAAGTCTGCTGGGGACAGGCTGTCAGAACAACTCCTTGTCATTAGCGGGCTCAGTTCATCCTAGCTCTGCTTTCTGCTCTTTACTTCAGCTGACTGTTGTTGAATTCTGTGACACCCCCAACCCCCACAGGCACTCCTGGAATGTCTACTGTTTTCCCTCCTAGCCAGGGCTATGCAGCACTCCCCTACCATTGGCTTGGACAGGTGGCTTCCTGGCTTCTGCCTTCACCCCAGGAGCTGCCTCTCCTGACTCTGGGAAGCCTACTTCCCTGAGTCTTCTTGTCTCCCATCTCTTGCAGAAAAGCCCGCCTCTGCCCCTGCCATTCCCTTTGCTGGAGGTAGCAGTGCCTGCAGCCTGTGCCTTCCTTCTCCTCCTCCTCCTGGGCCTGCTCTCAGGGATCCTGGCTGCCAGAAAGCGCCGCCAGTCAGAGGGCACTTACAGTCCAAGTCAACAGGAGGTGGCAGGGGCCCGTCTGGAGATGGACAGTGTCCTCAAGGTGCCACCAGAAGAAAGATTTATCTAAGCTGTCCTAGCTGCTGAAGCCATGCCCTGAAGGTCCTACAGGATCACTGCAGAACATCACCTGGAGGCCCAAGGAGACTATTTCCAGAGCTAGGACATCCACAGGATGTACCCCATGGTTGGCAACCTTTGCCCCTGTCCATTATGGACTCAGAAAATGGGGAACAACTCAGGGAAGCAGAGGAGGCTATGGGAGTATGAATGTCTCTGACCTGCTGGGCTATATACAGGGGGGTACATGCGGGTGCCCATGGTACGACTGGCATGCATGTGTATGTGTATATCTTTCTGCCTGTCTGGGGGAGAGGAAGGGGGAGAAAGGACAGGAGAAGAGAAGGGAGGGAGGGAAGGAGGAAGAGAGGGAGGGAGGGAGAGGAGAGACAGGAGGAGGGGAGAGAGAGAGAGAGAGAGAGAGAGAGAGAGAGAGAGAGGAATGTGTTGGTTTGTTTGCAGACTGTAGTGTGTTGTGACAGGGCTTGTGTGTATGCCCTGTGTGTCTGTCTACGTGACTGTAGTGGGGCAAGTGATTTCACAGGGGAAGTGGCTGCTTCATGACTGGAGACAACCTGGATGCTTCTGAGACAGGGGAAGCCCAAGGCTGAATGCTTCTAGTACTGGACAAGCAGAGCTTGCCTAAGCACCCAGACTTTGGTCTTGACATCTTGTCCTACCTCCAAGGACAGCCCTAGTCCCAGAGAAGCTGGGAAATGAGGGAGAATTCTTGGCTTCCAGAACAAAAGCCCTATTGGGCAGATCCGACTGACAGTGCCATGGCCAATACCCCCATGTCTGTGGGGCAGGCCTGCAGGAACCAAGGAGCAGCTGCTCTAGGCTGTCCTGCCTGCAGATGTGGAGCAACCTCTCTGCCTACCTCACAGGGCTGTTCTGAAAGTATCTCACCTGCCTACAGTCAAAGGGACTTCTGGGACCCTGGTAAGGAGGCTAGAGGGCTGAAGAATGAAGGTGCTGTTCTTGGTCCCTGGCCCTGCAAGCTTCCCACCTTGCAGTTCTGCAGCACAGGCTGACCTATGGCCTGCAGTTCTGTTGCTTGTGTATGGCCGTTAATTGAGAGAAAGCATGCCAAGGAAGGCCTCAGTTGTGTGCCCAGTAGTGCTCAGCAGACGACATCGGCAGCTACTACACTGTCACGCAGGCTACAGGATTACCTCCTGTGTGTGTACACACACTCAAGTGCACTTGACCTCTAACCCCACCCCCAGAGGACCCGTCTGCAGCTCTAGCCTCCTTTGGACTTTCCAGAGCTCTTTTGACTTGGAGATGTGTCCTATGTCATTCTTGCTTACTGGACCAGTGCCTCCTAACTGGGGGTTCATGTGCAAATGCCAGGTGACTTTTACACAGGAAGCTGGATGTCTCAAGCTTTCAGTCACCTCCAGAAGGCACAGGCTTGTGGGGAATGGGAACTCAGTAGAAGCTCTGATGAGACCCTGGATGCAAATAGGCCTGCTTAGTCCTTACCCTGTAGTAATGGAACCAACTTGCCCCTTGCTGTCTCTGTGTCCCTTGGGAGAGGGGAGAGGAAATGGGTTCCTGGGTGGACTGTTTCAGTTACCAGCTCCTAAGATGTGTCCTGTGGAACGCCAACAATGAAATGTTCCACCTTCACTTCAGTATTACCAGAGTGGCCTACACAAGTACCTGCTTGGTGGTAGAGGCTGTTCTTGTTGAGATCTGGGGGAGGGGTGGAGCTTGGTCCTTCCAGTCATCCTGCCCACTTGTCCATTCCCAGTTCGCTCCCCAGGAGGGAAGGGGCAAGTGATTCAGCCCCAAGTGGGCATAGGTGGGGATTGCAGTGGCTTCTACTTCAGCAGGGTGGCTGGTGTGGATGGCCAAGGGCCTGTTCAGGCTTCCCCTCCCTTGAAGGACTTGGGAGCACAGCTTTCTTCCCAAGGTTTTATTGAACACACAGTCATCACTGGGCTTACAAATTCTACCCAGCGACTAGACAGACTAAGACAATGTGTGCACCGGCCCCAGTGGATCATAGGTGTGTGCTGATTCCCAGGCTGCTCCACATCTTGACACCCCTCGGGCACACTGGGGTGGGGCACTGCTGGAATTTGCTGGGATGGAAAAAGTGGAACTGAGACCTGTTCAGGAACACGAAAGCCAGGAGGGTCCCCATGACCCAGGAGAAACACAGCTCTCCATCAGCTGAGGACACCCCCCTCTGAGACAGATCCTCAGGGGCCAATGAGCAACCTCTCAGACATAGGGTTCCCTCCAAGGACTGACCCTACCCGCTTGCTCTGTCAGAACCCCTGGGATAGGCTGCCTGACCCTTCCCACATAGGAAATGAGAAATAACATAAGATGCGCACAATTTCCTGCATGCCTCTGATGGATGTTTTCTTAAATGGTTAGGCTGTGTTTCACCTTGGTTTATTGAAAGGAATCAATTTTCAAGATTCATCAAATCAGTAAGGTAAGAAGGAAAAGCGAGATCAAAGAAATAACAACAAAACATTTCATTATAACTTTGGTGACTTGGCCTCAGGAATCTCTGTGCTGGCAAGAAGCTGGAGATAGCAGGGAGGGCTGGCTTCCAGGCTCCCACTTGCCTCAGGCATAGCGGCCACATTTATTCACTCCATGGGGAGTCTGGGGAGCCCTGAGGCCCCACCTGGTCCTAACCTAGGAGCCCAAACAGTTGTGCCTCCCCCTTTGTCCTTTGAGTTGGAATCTGGGTCATTGTTGCCAAGCTCTTCCCATAAAGCTCCAAGTGGCAGGAGGCTGAGCCTAAGCTTTGATTGACATAAGCCCAGAGGTATGAGGGTGGCAGAGAGCCGAAGGTAGTTCCTACCACTCAGATTTCTGGGTTTCTCCTATAAACCAGAGTTGCTGGTGTTCCCAAGCCCTGGAAGGGCTGGTTGGAGCTGGGTTTGGAGCTTGGGTCCCCAGGAACAACTCAGGTTTGGTGGTTAGGAAAGAGTATATTGCTAGAGAGGTTTGGAGATGCCCACCAAAGAATGGCCACTTCAGCCCCCAAACACCTGTGCCCCCCAAAGATGTGCTCACACGGGTGTTACTGATGTGCCTGGTAGGGCAGGGCTGGGCAAAGGAGAGCTGGGCTTGAGAGACACCTTGAGTGTCTTGGCCCCTGGGCTACTGGAGGGAAGGTGGCAGGGTATGGTTAGCCCAGCTGACCTCTAGTGCAAACCCTACACAGGGTGCCAAGAAGGGTGGCAGGCGGCTCTTCTGGGATGGTACCATTTCCAGGGCCAGTCCTCAGAGATGGGCTATGGAGGAGAGGGGGCAGAGAGAGTCCCTTTGCCCCAGTAGAACCTGGTCAGAAACAGGACATAGGGAGGCACGGTACTGGACGGTGGCACAGGCCTGCTCACTCAAAGGTCTCCCACTGCCTGCGGAGCTGCTCTATGGAGGTGGAAGCTGGGGCTGGGCTGGGGCACACATCTTGCTTGGTTTTTTGTAGCAAATCTTCAAAGGGGTCTCTGGCCTGAGCGGGAGCAGAGGGCTGCAGGGCTGGTTCTAGACCCTGGGGGGGTCTGGGAGGCAGCAGTGGGGGTTCACCAGGCCTCAGGGCTAACCCTTGCTTGGCCTCAGCAGCCCTGGCACTTGAACGGGCCAGAGGCAATGTTCGGATCCTGGAGGGGGCAACAGCTGGGGGACCAAGTGGCTGCAAGGGACTACTGTGGGCACCCATGGGGGTCTGGCCAAAGAGGTTGGGCATGGAGAGGGCAGACAGGTTGGGCTGAGACCTGTGAGGGGTATAGAAGCCAGAACCGGACAATAGGATGCTCGGTGCATATGCTGGCCCCAGGGATGCTGGAGGGGTCCCAAAAGGCCTGGCTGGTGTAGAGCCCAGGGACATAGTGGGTGGTGCTACTGGCACAGAAGGGACAAATGGATTGAGTGGCGGCTGTGCAAAAGGGGTAGGTGTCACTGTGGGGGGGAAGCTGAACTGGGGGGTAAATGGGGTAGTCACACTGGGGGTGGAAGGATGTGGTGGGATGTTGTTACCTGACCAGGCTGTGTTAAGTGGGTCCAGGAGGGCAAGCAGGGAATCACTGCCTGTGCCTGCAGCTCCTGGGGCTGGGCTGAGTGGCTGCAGAAGTTCTGTGGGGCCTTGGGGGGCAGCATTGGTGAGCAGCCCTGGTAGTAGGGCTGAGCTCAGGGCAGCTTGTCTTTGCCGGTCCAGCTGTAGCTGCTCTGAAGAGAAGTCACCAAATGGGCCACCAGCAGCCTGGAGCTTGGTCAGGCGGGCAGTGGGTGGTGGAGGCACAATTCCCAGCTCAGGGGTCTTTCTGCCTTGTGGCCGGGGAATGGTGATGCTGCCTGGAGTTTGGATGGGAGCCTCCTCCTTGATGCTGGGGCTCAGGATGCCATTCTGGTTTTGGGGTCTGTGAGGCAGGGCTGGGGAAGTACCAAACAGAGCTGAGGGCTTCTCAGGAGAGGTGATGGAGGGTTTGCTGGGGATGGCCATGTCGTCCTGACCCAGACTCCAGAGCTTAGTATATGGATGAGCGAGTTTCAAAGTGGCAGCCATGCTAAGGCCCCTCTCACTTCTGCACAGGTCCAGTCTCTGTGGGGAAGGAGGGAGGGAGTGATGAGCACTGGCTGACCCAGGCAACTGTACAAAGTTTCCAACCTTTCCTGCATGCCAGGCACATGGCTTCTGGGACTGGGAGGAGTTACAGGTACCCAGGACACCTGCAGAGACCCAGGCTTGTCCCACAAAAAGAATTCAGAAGAATCTCTTGTCTTTTTACAAAAGCCTATGCTTGCTAAGTAGTTTCAGGAAAATGTCTCCGTCTGTGGGCCACCTAACAGACGCCCAGGGCCCAAGGTCTTTGTAGGTAACACATACAAACGGGGCACGATCGAAGGGGGCATTCGTAGGCATCTGCTTCCAACCTTAGCCTCAGAGTCAGGTGGCTTGGGTATTTTTGCTGTTTGGAGATCGTGGTATCATTGATCACTTTCCAAAGGGCAAGTGTGGCTCCAGGCCGGGTTGAAGGCACACAGACCAGAGGAAAGGAGACTGGGTGTGAGTCCTGACTCCACCTGCCACTTAGGCCATTTGACCTGGACAACCACTTCTCCAGACCTAAGCTGCTTCATTCCCAGCAGGTGGGATACTCTGTGAATCCCAGAGAGGGGAGGTGACTGGTAGTCATCCTGGGAGAACCAATCCAGAGCCCAGTTTGATTCAACGAGCCCTGTAGCAGCAGCCCAACCTATGAGATAAGAACAGAGGCCGGCAGACGCCCCCTGCTGTGCGAGCATCTTCTCGCCCCTCCCCCGTGATAGCTTGTAGCATAATGTGTGCTTGCAATGGGGTGGGTTGGAGTACTGACTTAAGATGGGTGGGGTGGGGTAATGGAGTGGTGTCTCCCTGTGACGTGGAGAACCTACCTCATGAGCAGGAGGCACCCCATCAATTACTCTGCTCTACTCCCACCATACCTGGTAGTCGAAGCTCCCTGGCTGTTCCCGCAAGTCTTTGGGGGCCCGGAGGTCCTCCAAGCTCTTGGCTTGGCCCAGTGGCTGCAGTGATGCTTCCATGTCTAGGCTGCTGAAGACATCTTCTAGAAGGTCGATGCTGGCAGCTTGGTCAGGTGGGGCAGGGATAGGTCCCCGGGGTTCCTGCACAAGCTGCTCTGGGCTCTCGGTCTCATCACCTTCTGCACTATCTGATTCTTTCAATGTCCGGTATGGCTGTGGCCTGGGAGGAGACAAAGACAGCTGGGTTTCCCTCCAGGGCATCTACGGGAGCAGCAAATGGTCCTATCCCCTAAGAATGCCCAGGGCCCAGGACCACTGTTTTGCAGTTCTTTGGGGGCTGGATTGGGTCTTCAGCCCAATTCCCTGGGCAGGATGCTGTGGCTCTTGCTCTGAGGGGATCCTGAAGTGTCCCAGGGCCCAAGGTCTTTGTAGGTAACACATACAAACGGGGGACGATTGAAGGGGCATTTGTAGGCATCTGCTTCCAACCTTAGCCTCAGAGTCAGGTCTAGACCATGGCTAGCCAGAAGCCCTGGTTCTATCTTTTGCCATGAGTTCCTCGGTTATGAACCTCAGCTGATCTAGTGCGTGGCTGCCACCTGCACTCTGTGCGTTGAGTGTGTCCGCACATTACTCAACGTGAGTTGGGTGAATTGGGTCTAAGTAACAGCTGGTTCCTTTTGCTTTCCCACTGAGACTCAGGGCACCACAGATCTGTGGGGAGGCAGCACCTGCCCTGACCTCCAGTAGGGGCTGGCCAGTGCAGTGCCTCCCTTCTAGGGTCAGGCTGGCTGGAGCTGGTGAAGTGGGTGGAGGGCTCCACCTGCTGGTCATAAGCAGGCTGACACTATGGCCACAGAACAATTGGAAAGGAGGTGGTCCCAGCACCATCTAGCATACTTTGCTAACTGGGACTTACACCCTACTTTACAGATGAGGAAATTGAAGCTTGGAGAAGTTTAGTAACTCACCCTGCTTCACAGCACCCAGAAAGGGGTGGAATGGAAGCCAAATTCGAGAGTCTCCAAAGTCCTTGCCTCACTCTGACCAAGGAACTCTGACCTTTCATCTAATCTGAGCACAAAGGAAGGGATAAACACAAGAAAACAGCTGTTTTTAACCCTTTGTGTTGTGAATTAGGATGGAATGGCTCTCTTTAAACACTGACTCTAAGCCCAGGCTAAAAAGGAGAATTTAACCATCACTTAAATAAGGACACATTGGGTTGCCTGTGTCTCCAGCATGTGAGGACCTGGGTTCCATTCCAGCACCGTAAGAGAGGTAAAAAGCCTCAGTCAATCATTTAATTCAGAGACCCTGGACAGTCACGGTGTATGTGTGTGTGTGTGGGGGACCCGAGCAGGCTGCTTTTCCTGACTCAGGTGGACACTCAGGTGAGCATGTGTTCTTTCAATAGCTCTCTCTGTCCTAACTAACTAGTAATAGCTACACCAGCGGACACATTAGCTCTGTGATGGCACAGACATGACTGCTGTGGGAAGCAGATTCTTCAAACATTTAAAAGAAAAAGATCAAAGAGAATAAATACACTGAGCAGGTGTGTATACAGCTCAGGTACCTCGGACTAAGGGGACACTGCCATGGTCCCAGTTGTCTGGCAGCACAAAAGGAATGGGGTGGGGGGAGCAGCCTTGGACTTAGAAAGTCCAGGATGAAACTACAGGGAGAGGACCTGATGTTGGGTACAAGGTTAGGGAACAGAGAGGTGGGAGGGGTGGAGGTGTAGGGAGACCAACAGCTAGCACTCTGGTAGGTGGAAGGCACATCTCTGAGGCTCCTGGGAAGAACATTTGTATGTAAGGCCAGCCACCTTTTCCTTCTAAAAAATGTAATTTATATGCCGCTTAGGTTATAACATAATTAAGATAAAATTAATCTTAAGAAACCCAGGTAGACCAAAACATGTAACACACACACACACACACACACACACACACACACACACACACACACACACACACACTCTTTTCTCTGAGACAGGGTCTTGTATATAGCTCAGACTGGCTTGGAACTTGCTATGCAGCCCAGGCTAGCCTCAAACTCACTGTCCTTCTACCTTAGTCCCCCGTGCTGAGGTTGCAGGGGTGTGTTACCACACACGGTGGGTATGCTGGTAGTATTACATGTTTCACTTTACTCCAGTTGGCTTTTTCCTTCCTGTCTCCATGGCTTTCTAAGGTACATTGAGAAATGGAGGATCTGTAGTCAGGCTTACTGTGGCCACCAGTCCCATTAAACCGGTCATTTTCCCATTGTAAGGAAAGGGGATTGATACTTCACCTGTCACCTTTGTTGTCACAGCCTTGTGGGGCTGGCACAATAGGAGCCTGAGAGAAGGCCTGTAGTTGTGGCATATACCCTACAAGATGGCACCCAGGAGTCTTCTCCACGTGGCAGCAAGTAGCCCCAGTCCCCCATGCTCCCCCCTGAACCCACAGTGTCACCAGATTAAGCCCAAGGAGCTGGAAGAAGGAAGAGACCATTCAAAGGGAGAAGAGAAGAGAAAGCTCTCAGTGAAACCGGTGCTCGGTGCCTCTTCCCGTTGGCATTCCTCATCAGAGGAGTCTTCAGAGAGAAAGACAGCATAGTGTCGGAAGGGCTTTACCAGGCTGGACAAGAGAGAAAGAAGAGGCAGTTAGGGCACCATGAGAGCACATGGTTGGGAGAAGGCCCAGGCTACTGGAATCAGGAGGCTGGCTGGGCTATGTATGTTGTGAGCCTGGAACTCTCATCAAGGCATGTCTGGCCTGATTATTCACTTCCAGTAGGCTAATCCTAACTGAACAATGACTCATGCCTAGAGATGCTCACTGCTCTCTGTTTAAAGCACCGAAACACTTCCAGCAAGTAGACCCAGGTACTACTGCTGGCTGAACGTTCCCTTCCCATGACATGTAATGTCAACGAAGAGAATTTGAAACCATGACACAGTTGCTATTATTATGGTTGGCTGTCCCAAACCTGTAGGCTCCATCTCTACAGATTCAATCAGCTGTGTGTGAGCTGAAAATATGTGGGCATTTAACACCTTTAATACTTTAATTAAATCTTTAATACTTTTAATCCCAGCACTCACGAGGCAGAGGCAGGTGGATCTCTGTGATTTTTGAGGCCAGCTTGGTCTACACAGTGAGTTCCAGGACAGCCAAGGCCACACAGAGAAACCCTGTCTTGAAAAACAACAAAGAAAATGTTTGAAAAAAAATGTACTGAGCATGTGCAGTCCATTTCCCTGTCATTATGGCATTCCCCCAATACAGCTCAATAGCTATCTACATTAACATGTATACCAACTAGCTATGAAAAGAACCCAGAGGTGGTTTAAAGAATATAGGAGAGTATGTAGGGTTTTTTGCAACCATTTCACAGATAGGGCATGGAAACGCTGGGTTTTGGCATCTGGGACTGGTTCCCCCTAAGTTACTCTCGGAAAATCACACAAGAGAAAGAATGAAAAAGAAGTGCTTAAATTCCAGTAATGGCTGGTGGGATTGTGGGTGACCCCACTTCTTGCTTCCTTTTCTTTCTCTATATCTCTACATCAATAATAGTGGGAAAGTTACAGGAAAAGTGAGCTATGTGGAAGCAGCCCCTGAGAAGACCCGTTTCTGATCAGCTGCCCTCTCTGAGTCTCCCTCACATGCTTCTTCAGAGAGTCTTTTTCATCTGTGATGTGGAAATTAAATATTCATTGTTATAAAAAATGTATCTCCCTCGTCAGCTACCTGTGCTCTGGCTCTATAAACACACACACACAGAGCCCAGAGTTTGCACCTGGCTCCTAGCAATTATGTATGGAACAGCAATGCCCATGAAAGGCTATAGGCTCAGTAGAGGAGAGCCCAAACTGTGGTGCGTTCAAATCCTGGTCCTACCATGGATGCTACGGCAACTAACTCTGCCCTATCAGTGGCTGGGCTCATTGTGAAGAGTCCCAAGGTTTGGGGAGACAGGCAGGAGACACAGTGCATCACAGCAGCCTTCCTGCATTCTCTATGCTGGAATTACTTTCAGGTTTTACTTAGGAGAGGGCAACACATTCGAAACAAGCACACTGAGGCCTGAGTAGAAGGCTGGGGTGGCCAGTGCTGTGACTCCATTGCTAGAACTAACCTGTTATTACCCCAGATGGCTCCCAGAGCCATCCACAGCCTCAGTACTCCCAGCTGCGTGTCCTCATTTCCTTCCTTGTCCCTATAGCCTGGCCATTAGTTTTATTCTCAAATTTCAGTGGAGGTTGTGCTTCCTGGGGAGGCTACTAGCCCAGGGTCACACACAAGGAGGTGGCAGGGCTACAGGATTCTGCTGGCCTCCACTCCCAGGCCATCTGGGTACCTAGGATGAGACACATCAGCTCTTCCACAGCTGCAGAAGCATGCTAGCGGCAGGAGGCTCTGGATGAAGAACCCACCTCTCATGATCTGGCACAAGACTAGGTCCCTGCTGATTTCACAGCAATGAGGCTGAGTAGAAGAGATGAGTTAACCCATCGCAAAATGGGTGAGGAGAAATACTCACTTGCCAGGGATGCCTGCTCACTCTATTGCCCCTGGTTGGTCGGTCTGTCTGTCTGTCTGTCTGTCTGTCTGTCTGTCTGTCTCTGTCTCTGTCTCTGTCTCTGTCTCCTCCTGCTTTCTAGCATGGGGTGACTTCCAGCTGGCATGGAACAGCAAGCCTAGCAATTTCATTCCACTCTGGGCAGCTTGAGGTACATGCTGGGTATGGGTGGGTTGCAGGATGCCCTGAGGTCCCTTCCCACCCCTCCCCCACTTTAGCTGGAGAACCATCTCCAAGCAGTCACACTTTGTCTATCCTCAGCACACCGACTGCTCTTCCATCTTAGAGACCTGACCTGAATGTCATCCCAAATGTCAGGAGTTCCCAGCTCTTCCCTGGCTGTGGGTCTTGGCACATCGTAGATCACAGGTAATCTGCAATTCTGTTCCTGACTGAGCTCAAGGCCAGGGCTCTGGCCTTTGCTGCTGTTCACCCACATTAGTGGTTGAAGGAATGAGAGCTGGCTGCTAGAGATCCCCCACTTCTCCTGGAGCACCTAACACCCCAAACAGATCTTCTCATCACTTTAGGGCCCTGGTGGATGTGCCCCTTCTTTGGGGGTTCCTACCTGCCCTCTGAGGTGCTTACACATGTAGTATATGGGACCAAGGGCAGAAGCATTGAGATACAACTGAAAGGACCCTGGAGTGGGCAGTGCTGTGATCCCCATCCTGGAGGTAATGTTACCTGGAGTGGCTCTGAGCACAGCAACCTAGTATGCTGAACCAGCACAGGAACCTTATAGAGTCCATTTATCTAGCCCCCTCCCCATTTGTCTGAGCACCTGTCTACTCAAGGGCTACTTCCTGCCTTGCATAAGCAGAGCTAGTGCTGGCCAGGCACAGGAGACTGCTGATGAAGGACAGAGAAGTGAGCAAAGAACCAAGCTAGGAAGCAACTCAGGGGTTCTAGCTCAGACTGCCCTGAGGGTCACAGCACTAACTCTGAACAGACACCGAGAATATAAGCCCTTAACTGGGGTCACATAGAACCAAGTGCTTGATGACCCTCAGATGCACTGTGAATGTCTTTCTGACAATCATGTAAAGTATGGGCCCCTTCCCTGGCACAGATCACGTGGTGGCTGACCATCACTAAATTTGTCACATCCACAGAAAGCCTTTGTGCTGGGCAGGACTTTGGTGTCATTAAAGCCTTACAGTGCAGAGTGCTGACACCCAGGGCCTCCCACATGCTATGAATGCATGAGAGGGAGCCCTACTTTTCGGCCTACAAGCCAGCTTCGTCCAGCTAGCTCTGTAGGCCAGGCCAGGCTCCGATGTTCAGAGTACACCATTGCTTCTTGAGTGACTGGGTACTGGGGTGAAATGTGCCATGTGATTTGGTCAATCATAGCTTTGTCATGTCCAGGCCATATGGATGACAATATAAATCATCAAAGAACTCACATATAGTCCACACAGTTTCTCAATAATTCTTCAAGAGAAGACAAAGCTCAGAGAGGGAGAGACTCTTGCCTGGGGTCACACAGCAACTGAAGGTGGGGCTGAAATGGAATCTGGATTTACCCAGTCTCTAAACAACACAGGGGCCTGCCACCTGTTTCCTGGGGCTGAAACAATGAAATGAGAGGTAGGGAGTGTCCCCTTCCACTTTTAATGAAAGGTGAGGTTTCAAAATAATCTTATTTAAATTCAGCTGCTCATGTTCTCCCATGAAAGATACAGTCAGATATTTGTCAGGGATAAAGGATGAAGCATCGAAAACGTCCAAGTTTAAATTTTTTATTAGCTTAAGGCAGAATATAAAAAAAAATGTACCTCTTCCCTCATTAACCCAATTCAGCTACTACCCTGCAGTCTGCCCCCCACCATTTGCCTGGATTTTATTACACACAAAGGGGCTGTCTGGGAAAAGGCAGGCCTCGCTGAACTTGGCTACCTAGCAAAGACTGTGATGTCACGGCATGAGAGAAAGGCTCTGTCTATCATGGCTTGGACCTATCATCCCCCTGCTGCCCCTGCCTCGTCCACCACCCTGCAGTGGAGTTCCCATGTGGATGACTCCTGAGCCCTTTCTAATGTTTGGTTTAACGTGTCGCTGGTTAGCGAGAGTGTGTGACAGTGGTGACAGGCGAGGCTGTTCCTTTTTAAATACCATGTCAGAGACACGGCGTCAGGAAGCCAGGATGTGCTCTGTGCTCTCTGCTGCTCTAGGATCATGCTGGCTTATTTTTTAATGAGGAAGATCTACATCTCCAGTTTTTTATGTGTCACATCGCATGGACAAATCAGCCGCACGTCACGCTGGTCCAAAATGAAGTGCTGACAAATGTAGATGTTTCAGATTTAATTGACATTTAAATGCACTTGAGATAAAGATGGGAGGAAATCAGCCAGGCCTTGGTCTCCTGAGGTAATGAAGGGATGCCGTGATCGTTTCAGAAGAATCATTTCACTCCAGCACAAAGGGTCTTCACTTTGTCAATGGCCTGGCTACTTTTGTCCCTTGCTGACACAGCCCTGGTGGGGTAACATGTATAGAAAGGCTCCAGAGAAGGTCACTCTGTGCACTTTCTGCCTCCCTTCCCTTTCTTTCCAGACACCTTGGCAAAGTCACTTTACCTTCTTGGACCTTGAGTTTTGTGCAAATGGAGATGCTGCTGCCTTCCAGTGTGAGCAGAGAAGTATTCTTCAAGGGCTTTGTATGGTGCCTAGCAAGCTCTGAACCTCAGCTGCTGTCCAATGCTTGTTCCTTCACAGGTTGATGCCAGGCCCTTGTACCCTGGTCAGGGATGAAGAGGGGGTTGCTTCCTTCCAAGTGACTGGTCCTCTGCTAGCTGTGTCTCAGCACATGGTGTCACCCAGCCAGCCAGACTTCTTAGAGTTGCCACATCTTTCCAATCCCAGGACACAGGGCCAGTTCTCAGTCACATGGGACTCTGAAAGCAAGGTGTGCTATGTCTGGGAGCTGGCCTGGAGCTGCTCCCAAGAGCCAGAGTAAGGACCATTGTGCTGAGGGAGCGACTGAAGGCTGACACAGGAACTAGCTGCACAGAAAGGGGCCTTTGTACAGTTACATGAATATCTGC